CGAATGGTGCTGAACATTGTGCAATCATCAGCGAACATCCCCACTTCTGACCTTATGATGGAGGGAAGGTCATTGATGAAGCAGCTGAAGATGGTTGGGCCTAGGACACTACCCTGAGGAACTCCTGCAGAGACGTCCTGGAGCTGAGGTGATTGATCTCCCACAACCATGACCATTTTCCTATGTGTCAGGTATGACTCAAACCACTGGAGAGTTTGTCCCCCGATACCCATTGATTCCAGTTTTGCTCGGGCTCCTTGATGCCACACTCAGTCAAATGCAGCCTTGATATCAAGGGCTGTAACTCTCAGCTCATCTCTGGAATTCAGCTCTTTTGTCCATGTTTGAACCAAGGCTGGAATGAGGTCAGGAGCTGAGTGGCCCTGACGGAACCTAAACTGGGCGTCACTGAGCAGGTTATTGCTGAGCAGGTGCTGCTTGATAGAACTGTTAGTGAGACCTTCCGTCACTTTACTGATGATCGAGAGGAGACTGAAGGGGCGGTAATTGGCTGGGTTGGATTTGTCCTGCTTTTTATGTATGGGACATACCTGGGCAATTTTCCACATTGTCTGGTAGATGTCATTGCTGTAATGGTACTGGAAGTGCTTGGCTAGGGGGGTGGCAAGTTCTGGAGCACAAGTCTTCAGTACTATTCCCGGAATGTTGTCAGGGCCCAGAGTCTTTGCAGTATCCAGTGCCTCCAACCATTTCTTGATATCACGTGGAGTGAATCAAATTGGCTGAAGACTGGTATCTGTCAAGCTGGGGACCACTGGAGGGGGCCAAGATGGATCATCCACTCGGCACTTCTGGCTGAAGATTGCTGCAAAAGCTTCAGCCTTATCTTTTGCACTGATGTGCTGGGCCCTTCCATCATTGAGGATGGGGATATTTGTGGAGACTCCTCCTCCAGTGAGTTGTTTAATCATCCACCACCATTCACGACTGGATGTAGCAGGACTGCAGAGCTTAGATCTGGTCCGTTGTTTGTGGGATCGCTTAGCTCTGTCTATCACTTGCTCCTTATGCTGTTTGGTGTGCAAGTAGTGCTGTTTGGTGGCTTCACCAGGTTGACACCTCTTCTTCAGGTATGCCTGGTGCTGCTCCTGGCATGCCCTCCTGCACTCTCCATTGAACCATGTGTGATGACAAGGTAGATATCAAGCTTTTTTTTTAAATAAGAGCACAAAGTAAAAGGGTAAGGAGGTACCGATAAACTTAAAATTTTCATCCTTGTTTCCAAATGCCTCCAAGACTTAGGCCTCCCAATCTCTGTAATCTCCCTCGGCCCTACAAGTCTCCAAGATCGTTGCACTCCTACAATCACAGTCTCATGAGCATCCCCAATTTCCATTGCTCTATTATTAGTGGCTATGTCTCCAGCTGTCTGGGGCTTGAGCTCTGGAATTGCCTCCCTGAATTTCGCTGCCTGTCTTTCCACAAAGACATTCCTTAAAACCTACTCTTTGACCAAGCACTTAGTCACCTATCCAAATGTCTCCTTAAGTGATTCAACGCATATTTTGCTTGATAATCACTCCAATGAAGAATTTGGGAAGTTTTACTATGCTACATTAAGATGCTATATAAGGCAAGTTGTTGTAGGGCATTGGTTACACTACAGTCAAAGTAAAGAGTCTGCAGTTCCAGGAACCTATTAAAAGGATATTGAAAATATAATGTATAATGGTGATTCAGCTAACATTGGGAAACGTTAGTGGTATGAAGTGATTTAAGTTTCTGATACAATTACCACAGAAATCTAAGAGTAGAATTCACACAAATATTTTTGATTCATAAAGGGCTGAGAATTCAGAAACATAATTACCTTCGGCTGAGGAGAACTGAAAATTCAACTTAAAATGGTCGCCAAGAGTGATCAGGGAGGGTGAGAAAAGAAGTTTCTTCACAGAAAACAGCGTGAGAAATGAAAACAAGGCAGTAGTTGAGGCACAGACTGTTGCATCTTCAAGGTAAAATTAACTAAATGCTGAAGTACTTGCAAATATTGGTCAATAAATACAGAGTGAACAGTGGGATTAATTTTAGGATGCTGCAGTAAACAGAGCTAGCAAAGACATGATGGGATAAACGAGGGATAGTAGGAACAGCCGATGCTGGAGAACCTGAGATAACAAGGTGTAGAGCTGGATGAACACAGCAGGCCAAGCAGCATCAGAGGAGCAGGAAAGCTGACGTTTCAGGTCTAGACCCTTCTTCAGAAAAAAG